CAAATTCAAGGTTAGCTGAAGTTCTTACAATATTAGCGTCTAAGTCTGCGGAATAGTTACTTATATTAACTTTTGTAATATTATCACTAATACTTTCTGTTAACCATAAAACTATTTTTTTTCCACTAAAACTAGATGGTATTGCTAAATTTTTTCTTACATTACCAATATTTATGTTTAGTGCACGATTTGCGTATAAATAGTATAAAAATAAAAGTTGTTGTCTTGAATTTGCATTAGTTACATCATATTTAGTTATATGAAAATTATTTCTTTTAAAATGAGAAAAAACAATACATAAAGTGTAACTTGTATTTTTAATTGGTGGTTTAAAAGATATCTTATAATCATTTATTCTTAATCCAGTTTCTTTTATGTTATCCATTGTTTTACTTGGAAATGTAATATTTTGTGCAGAATTTCCTGTAATAGAGGACAAAGCATTAAACACAACACCAATTGAACTTTTATTTAAAACGTAATTGTTTGAATCGCTAAAGTCAAAAAAATGTTCAAAATATTTTCTATAAACATAATTTTTTATAAAAGGTAAATTTTTATTTACAATTCCAACTGTTGCTGTATTAATTTCATTTACCATTCCAACTGTTGCTGCACTATTATTATTATTTTTATCAAGATTAATGTTTAATATTTTTTTATTATTTGCATTTATGTCAACATTGTATGTAACTTCTGTTGGTTTGATATCAAATGCTGTGTGATAGTCATAAACTTTATCTGGGTCGATATTGCTTACTTTACCCACAATACCATAAGTAACAAAATAAACTCCTGAAAACTGTCTTGGATAAACAGACAGGTCAGTTCCTTCTTGTGGTATATTAACAAGAAAATGAAGAAAGAACCTATTACCAGTTGACAACTTTTTAAAATTAACTATTATTCTATGGTAATACATAAATTGTGTTTGATTTGTTGCATCTGTATATCTATGACTAAGTTTTTTTACACTTACATTTTCAATTGATAATCCTGTTGAAGTTCCTTTGTCTACACTTATTTGAGATTTATGCCAAAGTTGATAGTCAGTGTTTAGTATTTCCAAACATAGTGTGTAATCAACATTAGCGGTTAATCTGTAAAAGTTAACTGACATTTTGTACTTATATCCACCTTGAGAATTTTTGTTTATTTTTACATAAATTACTTTGTGGTTATAGTTATGAAAATTACCTTTTGAAGGAGGTAAGTCTGCTATTTTTGATATAACAAAACTAGTTCCAGTATCTATTTCATCAGTCCATTGTGCTGCATTAGACATAAGAAAAGTAAATTGATCGTTGTAATGACTTGGTTGAACTGCAGTGTGATGAATTAGTTTGTCAGCGTAATCTTTATTTACAGCATCATTGTCTTGGGTTGGATTACTTAAACTAATAATTTTTTTATTGTTCATATTTAAGTTTCCTCTCATATAATCCGTTCCATCTTTTTTAAAATAACCTGTTGTAAATCCTTTATCATCCACATACTTTTTGGTTGCAGCATCTGTATCGTTAAAAGGTGGTCTTAGACCAATTATAGGTTTATTATTCATGTTAAGTGAGTTTAACATTTTATTTGTTCCACCAACATGTAGATACTTTATATCTGTAAAGGCTAATGGTGTTGGTTGTTTAGGACCCATTGGAATTGGTAGGTTTAAAATTCTATGATTATCCATGTTAAGATTACCTTTCATTGGATAAGATCCATCTCTATCAAGAAATGTATTGTCTACATATTCTTTTGTAGGAGGTTCTTTTGCATCCAGTGGTGTGCTTAGATTTTTAATTCGGTATGTATTTCTCATATCAATGTTTGAATCAATTGTTAGGTTTGTTGTTGAGGTGGGTTTATCATCCACATACTTTTTGTTTGCTGCGTCATTATTAGCTGTTGGTTTACCAACATTAGTTATTTTATTATTATTCATACTTAAATTGCCAATCATTGTTCGTGAACCATCTCTGTTAAGAAAATTACTGTCTGCATATTGTTTTGTTGCTGGCTCATCTGCATCATTTGGATGTTTAAGGTTTAAAATACGAAATCTATCTTTCATATCAATGTTTGAATCAACTGTTAATCGTGTTGTTGTGGGTGTCCCGCTAGAATTATCATCAACATACTTCTTTGTAGCAGCATCAGTATTAGCAGTTGGTGTACCAACATTTCTTATTTTTTTATTTATCATATCATAATCACCATCAGAAGTAAGATTAAATCCAACTCCTGGTGCTCCTTGAATTCCTTTAGCAAATGAGTTATCTTTTTGTTCGTTAAATATTCCCATTTTATTTATTAGTTTAGACTACTAGTAAAGTTTTTAGCAATACGTTTTTTAGGCTTATCAATGTACAAAAATGTAAATGGTTTTTTTGTTGCTGTTCTATATGTTTCTTTATCAACTCCTAATTCTGATGATATACGATTTGCTTCCCTCGATGATGGAAATTCGTACAGACAGTAGTGAGAACAATTTAATCGTATATCCTTTGGAGTTTTGTAAAATGATTGACTGAGGTATATTACAGAGCAATTCTTATGCCTTCCTTGGATAAAATAATCAATAAGTTCTCTTTGATTTTTATCACAAACGTAATCATCAAATATTACAAGTTTTTGATTATCCTCATATTCCATTTCTGTCACTGGAATTATTTCATCATTACTAACATTTAGTATTTCATATCCCATTTTATGACTTAATTCTCTCATTTTTTGAATTAACTTTTGATACTTATCCTGTTCTAGATTACGTGCGTAAAGATAAATCTCATCATAGTATAAAAGTGGTTTAATTAACATATGATAAAGCAAATTAGTTTTACCACTTCCACTGTTTCCACAGATTAACATTCTAAAAGTATCTGATGGCATGTAAGGAAATAACTGTTTATATTTTTTATCCGGATCATCGACACTATCATAATTTGGTATTTCCATTTTATATAATAGTTATATATTTATTATATAAAATGGATATTGAAGAATACAAAAAACTTGCAAAAAATAAAATTGAGGCTGATGCTTTAACTAAACAGGTGAGAAATGTTATAAAAGAAACAAAATGGCAAAAACAAGATATGAGAGAGGGTTTTAAAGAAACATTTAAACCACTTATTAAATCTCAAGATAGTATTAAAAAAAGTATTGATGAGCAACAAAATAAAACTTTAGCTCAACTTCAAGCTAATCAACTTGCTCTTACTCAAGGTTTTGATCAATTAAACAAATTAGTTGATATGAGAGAATTACCAGCTTTGGAAGGTGATTATGAAGAACCATCAACGTCTAAAGCAAAATCACCTACACGTTATAACATTGAAAAAAATATTGACGATGTTGATTTAGAAATATTACAAATGTTGGAATATCCAAGGCCAAATGATTTTTTTGATACTAACCCTAAAATACTCAGAGAAATATTTGATGAAGTAAAAAATGATGTAAAAATGTTTACAGGAGAAATAGCTGGTTTGAATAGAAAAAAACATAAAACAGAAGAGGATAAAGAAAAAATAGAAAATATTAAAATGCAAAAAGATTTACTACATAAATACAAAAACATTCTTAAACTTTATTTAGGCTCGCTTGATTATAAAATAGGACAAGGAATGGTTTACTTTAACAACCCACATCAACTTTTAGACAGACTTGAATTACTCGGTGGATCAATTCTTGCTGGGAATAATGGAGTTATAAATGAGTTTTCTCAAATAGCACATCTTCTCAACCAAATGAAAGTAATTACAAAAAAACAACTAAACGATTTACTAAAAACTTATATAACAATTAGATAAATGGAAGAACGAGCTATTCATATTTCTTCAATAAATAGGGAGAAAAGAGGAACAAGCAAACCCGGTGATTTTACTATTAAGTTTAATCCTTCTTTGAAACTTGACCCTGAAAAAAAACATAGTCTTGCTCTTGACAAATTATCTATGACTTACTCTTGGTATAATATTAGAAGTGATTATAAAAATAATAAAATTAAATATACTCACGATGGTTCCACTTGGCAAACAATTACTTTTACAGATGGAATGTATTCCTACTCGGATATAAATGATTATATTCACCAGTATATGGACCAAAAATCTCACTCATCAGGCTCAAGTGGAAATAAAACTTATTCAATTAATATAACATTTATACTATCTACCTACCGAGTGTTAGTATCAATTGAGGGTAATTATCAATTAGATCTGAGAGGAACAGAATTTGGAGACCTTATTGGATTTGAAAAAAAACTTATTACAAAAACAGAGTATGGAACAAAACTACCAAATATAACAAATTCTATTGATGTACTAAATATAAACACAACCGCAATAACTAATAGTATTGTAAATGGAATAAATACAAATACTATTGCTGTGGTACCAACAGACAATCTCACAAGATCTTTTCCATTTACTTTCGAGCCTAAAAGACCTTTGTACTGTGATATATCTTCATTTAACATTGATGAAATGAGAATTTATGTTACAGACTCACTTGGAAGACCAGTAAATTTTAATGGTATAGATTGGTTTATGACTTTGATTCTTCACTCAATGTGATACTTCATATTTATATAACTATTAAAATAAAAAATGATGCGACAATCAGAGTTTAAAATGAAATTTGACCCTGAATTGGGTAGATATACAAAACAACATATTTATGGAGAAGGAATGATGGATGGGTTTAAATCGTTTGGTAAAAAAATATTTGGAAAGACAATGAAAAAAACTGCTAAAAAGAGTGCACAAAAAAGTGGTGATAAATTACTAAAAATGACTGCAACAAAAACTGGTGAATATACTGGTAAAAAGGCTGGTGATAAGATAGTGCAAATGTTATCCAAAGAAAAAGTAAAATCTGTTAAAAAAACACCTACAAAAAAAGTTAAAACAATGACTCAAAAAGAAATAGATCAAACATTAAATAACCTTCTTAGTGGAGGTTCAACACGTAAAATAAAATTATATAATTATTAAAATAAAATGAAGTCTTTTAGAAATCCAAAATATTTAGAAAGATATGAAGATGTTGTTTTTGACCTTGAACAGGCTCTAGATACAGCCCCAGCAAATAATGCACACCAAACTAAAACAGGTCTTAGATTTGTTGCTGATAATACAGGAGAAGCTACTCCTTATGATTGGTATAACGCACGATTATCAATGGATTTTAAAGTAAATAAGCTGGCAGATGGAGGAAATTTAGCAATTGCTGACCATAACGGAATTGTAAATGGTAGTAACTCATTTATAGAAAAATTAAGTATCCTAGCAAATGGTAGAGAAGTTTACAGTTGTAATTATTCAAATCATGTTGTAAATATTAAAAATCTTCTTGAGTATAGTCCTTCATATGCTGAGAGTGTTTCTACGAATGAATTTTATTTTCTTGATACAACAAGAAATGCAGAGGAAAGAGAGTTTGAGGTTAGTGGCACAAATCAGTTAGCTAAAAGAAAAGCAACTTATAATAAAGGTTTTCATAAAAGAAAATTACTATTAGGTACATCAGCCACAGTAAACTGCGAAATTCCTCTTAATAGATATTCTTTTTTTGAAACATTGGAAGACAAATTACTTCCAAACACAAAAATTGAGCTAAATATTGAAATTGAAAAAGATGCAAATTTAATTTTTCAAGCAGCTGATAATTGTAGAGTTATTATAACAAGACTACAACTTTTTATTCCAAAACTTACGTTTAATTCAGAAGGACAAAAGTTGTATATGGAAAATTATCTTAAACCTTACAAATGGACATATTTAAATGAAGTAGTAGAGCGATCAAATAATTCACAGCAACAGACAGGACATTTTAGAATTACAAATGCTATTTCAAAACCAAGGCATGTATTTGTTTTTGGAATTAACACGGCAAGAATTGATTCACAAACAGCGAATCCATTTTTATACGATACTTTTAATCTACCAAATAATGCTAATATATCAAGATGTTACCTGGAAGTTTCAAATGGAAACGAATACCCAGATATTCACTTTAAACCTTCTACAGATATGTCAAGAGTTTTTAGAAATGTAATGTCATACGTTTATGCAAATAATGATTATCAAGGCGGAACATTACTTAATATAAGTAATTTTAAATCGTTATTTCCTTTTGTTTATTTTGATTTAACAAAACAAAAAATGGATATCAAAGATGGTGTTACAAAATTAGCATTTCATTACGAATTATCTGCTAATCCAAACGCTGATTATAATATATACGCGCTAGTCTTACATGAAAGAACAGCAGAAATAGAACAACAAGGAGGAAAACTATTGTTAAGAGCTTAAAATAATTATAATATAAAATATGATTAAATTTTTAAAAAATTTTAATGAAGATGATTTATATGAACCATTTTATGAAGAGTTAACAAATTTGTTAACAAAAAAAGTAGATCGATACTATCCATCACTAACATTTTTAACAATTAATCAAAAAAAAAAGTTTGAAAAATATTGTAGAAGTAACATTATTCACAAATCTTATAGGTTAAATGTTTCTTACAATTACATTTATGATGAAAATAAATTTCCTTATTTAATTTATTTATCTAAGAAAAAGGCTGAAGAAAATTTAAAAGCAATAAATAATAAAAAAAAAATACATACTATTGTGTTTTCTGGTTCTCATTTTGATAAAGTTTGTAGAGCTACTATTGAAAAAAATTATCGATTTGAAATAGTATTAAGCGACATAAAATTATATGAAAATGAAATCAAACCAAAAAATTATTCTATTATTATGAAAAATTTTAAATGGAATAATAAAACTAAAAAACAAGATGAAAAAGAAGTTAATATTACTGACAAAGATGTTCTAAAAAAAGATATTTATAATATTCCTATAACTAAACGATTACCAAAAGAACAAATAGTAAAATCACCTCCTACAGTAAAATCACCTCCTACAGTAAGCTCATTATCCATAATTGATAAGATTATTGCTAATAAAGAAAATAAAAAAAAACTTGAAAAAAGTTTAAAAATTATTAAGAGCTTGATTAATTAATTGTTCATTTGTGATGTACCTTCACCACTTCCATCTTCTGTAATTTTTATTTTGTAAACTTTTTTTGGCGTCTGTTGTTAATAGTAATTTGATATGACGTATTTTATATCAAATTTAATTGGTTAAAAAAATACCACCAGTAATACCACCAGTAATAAAACAAAATATACGACGTCTTTTGTGATACCACCAGTTAATCTATTAATAACAATAAATAATGTTTAAGCTATTAAATATTCGAGAAATAATCCCATCTCAAAAAAAAGCATTAACAGAATTATTAACAAAAAAAGTATATCAATATGTTCCAAGTATCACTTTTTTAACTAATTATCAAAAAAAAAAATTTGTAAAAAGATGTGTAGAGGAAAATATACATAAATCTTACGTTTTAAATGTTGACTATAAATATAAAAATGATCAAAATAAAAGTATTTTTCTTATTTATCTTACAAAAGAAAAGGCAAAAGAAAATATAAGAGCTTTAAAAAGTGAAAAAAAAATCACAATTAAATTTTCAGGTTTACATTTTAAAAAAGTTTGTCGAGAAACACTAAACAACAATTATAAGCTTGAGGATGTTTTGAAAGATATAATTGCAATTCGAGGAGAAGATAATCCAGACACATATTTTCCTCCAACAGATAATTATTGGACAATACCACCAAGTAAAGAAGTTAAATTATACAAACAACCAACACAAAAAAAAATTATTATTGGTAAAAAAAATAAAAGTAATAATACAAACTTTATTAAAAAAAACCTTAATATTAAAGATAAAATAAGAATTTACTATCCAAAAATAATTTATTTAAAAAAATCTGGTTTGCAAGATTATTTAAAAAAAATTCAAAAAATTATTAAAGAAGAAAAAGAAAATAAAAAAGATAAAATTAAAGATTATAAGATAATTTTTGTTTCACTTTATAAATTTCCTAAATCAAAAGGTTTTATATTTTATCTTACTAAAAGACAAATCAAAGAGTTAGAAGAGTATAGAAAATTAGGTGTTGAGCAAACTCCTATTATTCTTACTACTAGTCAACTTTTAAGAACTTATAAAGAAGTAATAAGAATAAATAGTTTTATTTATTATTACAAGGATAAAAGAAATTTTAAAAATAAAAATTCGTTTAAACCAGAACTATTAGCTCTTAGCGATAAACCTTTTAATAAAGAACAACAAATAAATTCTGTAAATGTTTTGGATTTAATAGATTTTGGATATCAAGAAAAAGATTTAACAGATTTTATAGATGAGAATAAAGATTTAATAGAGTTTAGTGATGATGATTTAATAGATTTTGATACTATTTTACCTAATCCAAAAAATAATAAAATAAGTAATAATAAAATGACAACTTATTATGAATATGGTATTAATCTTACAAAAAGACAAAAAGCAAAACTATCTTCTGCAATATTAAATAAAACAGAAATAACTCTTAGGTTAAAATTTGCACAACTTGAAGGTCCTTATAAACTAATGTTAACAAAAAGTCAAATTTCTAAAATAAATAAATCTATTATAAATGATAAAGGATTAGATTTAAAATTATCTAAAACTCAGATTAACAAATTAAAAAGACCAAAAACAGAAAAAATATTAGAAATTGATATACCATCAAAAAGAAAAACAAAAGATTTAATACAATTTAGTGATGATGATTTAATACAATTCAGTGATGATGATTTAATAGATTTGAATACTATTTTACCTAATCCAAAATCAAAATCAAAATCAAAATCAAAATCAAAATCAAAATCAAAAAATGATGATTTAATAGATTTGAATACTATTTTACCTAATCCAAAATCAATAAATTATGATTTAATAGATTTGAATACTATTTTACCTAATCCAAATCCATCAACAAAAGAGTTAAAACAAACTATTGAAAGATTAACTAATACGTTAAACAGAATAATATATTTCTTAAAAACAAACTATTAAAAGATTAACTAATACGTTAAACAGAATAATATATTTATTAAAAAAATAATATAAGCTAAAAATAAAAAAATGACAACTTATTTTGAATACAGAGTAAAACTTACAAATGGTCAAAAGTTAAAACTAGCTTCTGCTATAAAAAATAAATCAGGACTAACTCTTCGAATAAAACATTCACATCTTCGAGGTCCTGATGAATTAATGTTGACCCAAAGACAAATTTATAAAATAAAAAAATCTATTGCAAATCGTACTGGAACTGATATAAAGATAAGTGAAACACAAATTAGACGTTCTGTAAAACATGGTGGAAACTTATTTTCATCACTTGCTTCTATTGGAGCAAAAGTATTACCTTATGCAATAAAGGGAATTTCAAAAGTTGCACCTGCTTTAGCAACAGGTGCTGCAACCGCACTTGGAGAGATTGGATTAAATAAAATATTTGGAAAAGGAATAACAATCCCCCATCAGTTCTTCCCAATGTTACCACCTATTGTAAGAGAATTTACCAAATCACAAGTAAATCAAATTAATAAAGCATATAAAACAGGTGGACGATTAATTATTAAACCAACTCGTAAACAAATAGAAGGGGGATTTCTTGGAACACTTGCTTCTATTGGAATTCCAATGGCAATAAGTTTAGTATCAAAAATGTTTGGATCTGGACTACAAGTAGATAGAAGTAATTCATCCAATACTTCAAATATTTACGTTCCAGTATCTACACACGGTGAAGGTCATGTTTATAATTCACCTCCACCTTTTATAGATACATGGTCAAATCCAATAGGAATGGGACTTAAAAAAAAAAAGCCCAAATCCAGGGGTTCAGGTCTGCTACTAGGAAAAAACAGCCCATTCAACTCAATTCCAATTCTCGGCTCCATTTTATAATTAAACCTTTGTCTAATTTTGACCTCATGGAATGGATAAAAAAACTTGGTATTAAATATTTCAGAGGAATATATACTCGTGATAGATTACCAAAAAAAATAACAAAAGAGTGTGGAGTAATTAATCTAGATGATATTGAAGGTCCTGGAACACACTGGGTTTGTTATAGAAATATAAACAATTTAGTTGAGTATTTCGATCCTTTTGGACTAATAATGCCAAATGAAGCACTAAAATATTTTCGTACTTCTGAAAAACAAATAGTTTACTCTATGGATGAAATACAAAATCGCAATACTGTACTTTGTGGATATTGGTGTTTATACTACTTATTTGAGAGACAGAGAGGAAGTAGTATTCTAGATGTAATACATAACCCTCATTTTGATAATGACAACAGTGATTTTATAAAATCTTACTTTGGCGGATAAAAATATAATATTATTATTAAAAAATATTATATTTATAAACGTTACTACTCACTATCAACTGGTGTATTTTTTAGTAGTTTAACCTTCTGTACTTTTGTGTCTAAATTTTTAACACTATCAACTAAATCAATAAAATTTGAGTAAATATCAATAAGTCTAAATAATTTTTTCTTTTTACTATTATCAATACTTAACCATGAATATCCCCCATCTCTAATTCTTCTCCACATTTCAATTTCGGTGACCATTAAAATTCTGGAAAGATCATCATTACTCTTTCTAAGTTTTTCCAACTCATTATATATTTTTGTTCTCAATTCTTTTTCAAAATCCTTGATTGTTTTAACGTCAATAGATTTTTCAATCTCAGAAAAGAATTTAGCCTCCATTTGTTATTAGTATATATTATATTTTTCTTAACAACTTTTTTATCTTATTTAATTTCTTTTCAATTATATTTAGTTCCACCTCAATTGTTTCATATTTTTCTTCTATTTTTAAATATTGAAAACCCACTAACTCATAAGCTTCATCTAATTGTTCTTCAATTTTCAATATCTTTTTTCTAAGATTTTCCATTTATTATATAAATAAATAATTTCCTTTTACAACTTTATTGAGAGTATTTGCTTTTTCACTTATTTCCATAAGCAACTCAAATACTTTTATAAATCTAGTGTCATATTCCAATCTAGAAAAATCAGCATATTCATAACTAATATTTAGGCTACTATATATCTTTTCAAGCTCACTTTTTAGAAAATTAGTTCTAGTAGTCATTTTTTATATAAACATTATATTAAATGAAAGAAACATATTGTATTAAAGATAAAAGAGTAACTCCTTGCACAGAGCCAAGTGGTTACCAAAAAGATAAAAGAGGAAGAACTCAATTCTTTTGCACATGTGCAGTTTGTGGGATCAAAAAAGTTAGATATGTAAAAACTGGTACAGCTTCTCAAACTGGAAGTGGTAAAAAGAGAAAAACAAAAAG